TAAAATACTTCCATTTCCATGGGCAAAGAAAATGATTTGTTTTGAGTCTCTGAACATAGCACTGAAGAACTCCAAATTTCCTCTGCGTGTGCTGAGGATGCCTGCCTCCAGCCGTGAGAATAAAAAAAGCGTGGTCATAAAGAGGTGGGCAGCTATTAAATTAGGTAGCAATTAGGACGGGTACAGGAACTGAGAAAGCCAGAAATACATCAAATATTAGCAGATTTACATATCACTCCTTCTTGTCTCCCTAAATATCTGCTACCGCATGCTGCTGGGGCTCTGTCCCTGCCAGCTTCGTTGTGCTCGGGAAATCACACTGTCCGCTCCGGCTGCGACACTCCCTGAGAGATCCCATTACAAGGGCACACACACCACTTCATCAAACAGCTTCAGCACACCATATAACGTACGGTATTCGCTTTGGGGAACACTGCATGAATACTGATTGGCAAAGTTTGGCCCATATTCTTATTCTTACTAATTGCAATTTACTTCAGAAATAGACCCACTGATTTTGCTTTCCCAGCACAGCAATTTTTCTGGTTCTCTCTTCAATACTTTCACACACTTACGCCCAGCTAAGCTGCTGATCTTCAATATTCAAGGTAATTGTTAGGTAATAAACTCTTTTAAATGATCTGGCAACTGGGAATGAGTGTCAGCTGACAATTCTTTTTTTCTCTGAAACACAAAGTCCTTGCTTCTGTATCACATATTTGCCAAAATTACCCTTGCAATCTACTCATCTTTTAAACCCCAGTTTTCATTTTTTCTAGTCAATCTGTCTGAGCATCTCAGAGACAACGTAGGACTGGCATCTGAGATGACTCTTACTCTGTCACTTTGCTGCCACCGTCTCAAAATGTCTCACTATACAGTTTATTGCTGGGTATTAATTTTTAAGATAGCTTTATGTTCCTTATTAACAACTTATTTCTCAAAAGATAAAAATGATGTTGTTGCAATCACAGGACCAGTAGACATCTAACATCCGAACAGCTGAAAACGAGGACAGAAGCTTGTTTCTGAGGGATTATATTTTTTCTCAAATTCCATACAGAAACAAGTTTCTCATCCTTTCCCCTTTGTCTACGTTATTTGGATAACACATATCTCCAATTTATAAAAAGTAAACTCACCAACCAGGGCACTACCATGCACTATTCCAGGGGATAATGGAGAATACTGGCTTGAGTAATTTCCATGCTTTCAAACTTTCTTTTCACCTCTAAAAGGCAGAATAATGTAGGTCACTTTTAATGAGGAGCCTTATGTGTGGCTTTCCCCACACACTCCACAGCAACCGGGTACTTACGAGTTCATGTTCTCCCTGCATCATCACCGTATTTTGTCATTTTTCAACAGAGTTGACTTTTGCCCACAACGCCGGGCACTTTCATATGGTAAAGCCTCTTGGCTGCTTCATTAACTCTGCATCAGTGTGTGCCTTTGCATTTCACTGTATCATTTCCTCCAGCATTCATTATGCCACAGTTTAAACAGCCTCTAGCTAGAAACTTCTTAAAAACATCACGATGAAATTACTTTCTCGACAACATACAAGTCAATTATAACGTAATTAAAAGACATAGTAATCTACTCCCTTGTTGGGGAACGGTATCTTGGTTAAGATCATACAGCACATACTCGTACAGTATCTGTGAAATCTTTTCTATAAGTTCTTAGCTACTGTCCACAGCACCTGTTCTTCTGTCAAAGACACAGGAATTATAATACCTGTTCCCTTCTAGCTTTGCAAACGTGAGGAATTAAAGTGGTACAAGCTGCTCTGAATCTAGGCTCTCCACTTTTCAGTGCTTGACTCCCCAGGCATTTCAATGGCATTTTTTGTCATTGGGCTGGGAAGATCTGGAAGAAACCTGGCATGTGGAAGGCATGCGCTCTTGCCCGTCATATCAGACACCTGGCTTCCAGCACGAGCCTCTTGCATATCCCTCTGCAAGGGAAGAGTTAAGCTCCCTTGAATTCACTCTCATCCCTGCCTTCACCCTACTCCCTTTCTGTCCTATTTTCCTCTTTTCTGCGATGTCCATCTTCACCACCTCTGCACGTACCAGCCAGGCCCTTCTGCCCTCCCCCACCACTTGGCAAATGGGGAAGGACCCAAAGGCAGGTTTCTACTGCACCAGCAGCAGAGCCAGGCAACCCCCTGCCCCTCTGCTAGCCGTGCTCGCCAAATGAGTCCCCAACAGTTACGCCTTTAAACACACGGGCTCAGGGGTTCCCTTAATCCTCCCCTTCAGCCCACTCCTAAACCCTTCCACTCCCCACTGCCCTGCGGCACCCCTCCTCACCCTCCTGTGCCCCAGGGGCTTGGGGACAAGGGACAGGGACCTGCCAGGAAGGAGAAGGGGACAGGCTATGGCTGCCAGGTGAAGAGAGGATGGGGCTGAAGGACAGGGGACTGCACAGGGTCCAGACCTTCGGGGACAGCAGCAGCAGCAGCCTGAGGAAGCCACAGGTGTGAGAATCCCAGCCCATCAGGCTGGTGGTGCATCATAAGGAAACTAAATATTCATCAGGTTGACATTACACAGCCTGTCCCATGTTCTGCACGACAGCAGTGCTGACAGGTTTCAGCAGCCCTGTGCTCCTCTGCCCTGCCCAGAGTGATACTTTGAATCCTAAAAGTAAAATAAAACTTCTGCAACCAACTAATGAACAATGTTTAAGTGAAGGGTCCTGTATTCTTCATCACTTTAAAATATGTAATGGACACTATGTCAACATGAGGTAAAAAAAAAAACAACAAACCAAAACAAAACAAAAAACCCAAAATGAATCCAACTGCTGCATACAAACTGGATTTAAATGAGATTTCTCTGCAAGCCAATGCGCATCATATGTGCTTGTGTAAAATAAGCTGTTAGAACAGCCCCTTTGCAGTTTAGACGAGGATGGAGAGTTGTAAGAGATACACGTCCTTCATCACCCGCTTCCTTCTAGGGCCAAGTCCCTTAATTTACTTGAGCTTCAGCTTTTCTGTCTTTAAAACAGGGATAACTTCTGCCTGCAGTGATGCTGTGATGCTAATCCATCTGGTATTTGCCAACACACAGAAGACTTTATTCTAATAAGTGAGATGTGCGGAAAGCAGGACAACATAACCGATGCTCTCCATATTCTTCCTCACAGTCTTACCTAGTTTCATTTTTGGCTAGAAAAGTAGGTCAAAACACTACACAATAGTTGTTTGAGGGAGAAAAGCAACTTTTAACTTAGCTGGGTATAAACACCCTTCTTTTTCCAAATCAGCACTCTTAAAAGGGACAGGCAGGGTAACTGGGGACTCTCCAGAGGTGAGCGTGAAGGCAGCATCTCTTCTTGACCTGTTCCTTAATCAGCAAAGGTTCAATACAAGAGGAATAATTCATGTGGCCAGCAATTGATTCTTGCTCAGGAAGCCCCAGGGGAGAATTTTAATCATGGAAAGCTCACCTTCTTCTGAGACACGCTGAAACGGCAGGGTGGTTCCTTCTGCACGGCTTTTGGGCAGATTATAAAGCTGGGATGCCCATCTTGTGCTCAGCACATGCTTTGCAGTGCTGGGCAGGAGCCTCTGGCTGTGGGCATATGCTGCTGCTGCAGTTTTCCCTCCTCTCCCCCCTCCTCGTCCAGTAATTACTTTCTTTTCATTAACTGGTCTTAATGCATGCATGCACATCCGCAAAACAAGCAACTCACTGCTCCAAGTACAGCAGTTTTGGCTTGGAAGTCGTGCTTGCCTGGGTTTGTAAAGCCAACAGCCCACTAGCACCAGCCCCAGCTTTGCCCGAGCAGGAACGTCCGTGGGGTGTAAGCAAGTTGGGAGGTCCCAGCTTTCTCCAGCAAGTTGCAGGGGTTGTGTGTGCTGTCTGCAAACCAGGGCAGCCGGGGCAGCTAGTTGGCGTGGAAATGAACACACCGGCACAAGCAGCGTAATGACGGTGATACATTAATGCTGTACCGATGTCAGCGACACATTACCATCAATTTAAGCAGGCAGTATGGCTGATTTATAAGCCCATATATAACCAAATACAGCACAGGAGGTGTTTGGAAAAACAAGCATGTGAAATAGGCATGACAAATAGAAAAGCTTTATTAAGGGATGATTTCTGTGATCCCTCTCTCCCAAGACAGTGATATTTTAACATCCTCATCCAGCCAGGAACACAGATAAACAGGCTGTAAACTTGACTCATTATCCTGTGGTTTGTGCTTTGGCAGAAATGACCGATGATTTTTGTATATGAGTGAAATGTTTTAACTTATACCTCTGACTGAGGTCTGCTAGGGGAAGGCGGTCACCTCATGAGTTACTTTGGAGGGACTAATCAGAGGGATGAACCCAGTATGTAATAAAAACTCTTGTCTGCACAACCCATTCAACCCGACTGACTGGGGTTCTTACAGGAAACACTTCAGCACACTAGCTGGTAATGGAAAGTGAAATAAGAAAAAAAGGGTGAGGGGAGGAAAGCCTTCGTACCTATTTTGTCACCTGATGCTGATGAACTCAGTGCAAAAGCTGAAGAAAATGAAGTGCTAACTTGTAAGCAGTTCAACCCAGGCAAGTGAATACATAGTTGGCATTTATATTAAAAGCTCTAGTCTGCACATATCTGTCTCCTCATTCCCTTGAAAAATAACATTTTTTCACCAAAAAGGCCTCAGCCTTATCTACTGAGCACGGGGGTAGTTTTAGATACTGTGCTACAGACTCAATTTGGACACTTAAAGCTCTTGGCTCATTCAGATCGTGAAATCAAACTAGTCAGGGATAAAATCAATTAAGTTTGGCAAAGTAATTTTTAAAGTGCCCTGTGTTTTTCCAGTTATCACTACAAGTATCCATAACGGATTATATAATTAAAAAGTAAGCATTTACGAACTTCAGTGCTTAATGTAGCCCACCTATGTCTACCTTCAGCCAGGGCTGACAGTCACGATCCTCTCCACACAGTAAACACGCCGGGGTACCATCAGCCTCCTACCTTGGCTCCATCCACACTGATAATCCGATAGCTGTTTCTCGTGCTGTCATAGAAGTAGGAAACAGTTACAGCCTGCTTGCTTGCGGGAACCCAATTCTTCTTCGTGCTGGGGTCAATTTGGAAGACATGGGCTCTGGTGGTGAAGATGGGCTGTTCTCTGGAATAGGGAGGGACAGGAGAAATGGATGCATGAGTCTGCGGAAGATGAAATGTCCCAGAAGCCCAGCCTTGACCAGGCATGCTGAAAGTGCAAGGCAGAGAGCACCTGGCAATCCCCCAAGGTGCAGCAGGGATGCTGCCAAGCCACGATCCAGCCTTGGGTACCTCTCCTTGGCATCGCTACGTGACATTCAGTGCCCTACAGTCACTGCCATAGCCCAGGAAGCAACTGGCAGCACAAGGCCAGTTTTTTTCCCCATGCTATACTAACTCAGCACCCACCTCTTCCTCAAAATGGACACTCACACGTATTCCTTTTTTCCCCATCCACATATTTTGGCAAAACCAACAACAATCCCCCCAAGGCTGGATTTCCTCCTGCCACGCATCCCTGTGAACCACTGCCTGCAGCCAGGGTTCCCCTGCGGATGCACCAATTCCAGCGACACACAGGCACGGTATAATTACTGAAATATTAATCTCTGTCCTTAGAATCACACTGTGCTGTGGATGTGCATGAAAATTTCATCAGATGGAAAAGGAGTCAATCATCCTAGGGAGCGAGGGGGAAAAGAAACACAACCAAAACCCTGTACTGATGTGTATCACCTTTCAGTCCAAAGGTGAGGTTCTGCCTCTGGGACCCCGTTCCTAAACACCAGCCCTCCTCAGGTGCTTTTACTCATCAAGAGTAACACAGTGGAGGGGTTTTGTTTTACCTTCAACATGGGAAAATGCAAATCACACATAAAAGCAGAGAAGATGCAGGACCAAAAGAACAAAACACAGCACAAAGTGATCTAGGTTGAAGATCAGAATGGAGACTTAAAGGCAGCAAAACTAAATTCACTTTAAACTATACACTTAACCAAAGTTTAGAAGTAGAAGTGAATTGCAAATCAAGGTCTGTTCTGCTTCTATATACATTTTTATGCATTTAGGTCTTAAAAACTACAGTATATAATGGTCTATATTTTCATCACATATAAAATATTATATCACAAATAGTTACACTTGACAGAATTACGACAGTATTCAAAAAATTGTACTACAGTAGAGTCAACTCTCAAAAATGTTTACCACATGGAAACGGAAAAGGCTGGCAGGCTGAATTTTGCACAAAGCAAATGAAAAGATTTAGGTGAAAGGCCAGAGAGATCTCTCGCTCTCATATGCTATTCTTTCCTATTCACATAAAGAATTCTCTTCTATTATTCTCCATCTGATAGTTTTGGAACTATGTTTTTATTAAGATTTCTGTAATCTTCAGCTCCTTGTACATCCACCTGTGCATTTTTAGAACAGAACAATTTCAGGTACTGTACATAGGAACTGTATCAAACATCACATGTTATCCTGACCGTTGCAGTTAAATTAAAATCAAGGGGAGTAAATTTACAAATTGTAAACAGATTAAGTCACCAAACTGTAGAATTAGCCCAGGACAGACAGAGCGAGCTTGCAAAGCCAAGCAGGACCTCAGGAGGGAGAAAATGGAAAAAGGTCTCCTTGCAATACGTATGCAAAGCTTTACATTTTTCCAGGGACTGCCATACAGATTTCTGGATGGGTAGCTGTGCTGAACTCTGTAAAATACTCATATGAAATAAATTGAAATTACAATGGGACTGCCATATTACGGCTGTGAAAGAGCATCACTTGCTTCAGTTCTTCCTGATCAGGAACTCACCGAGTATGACTCTCATTTCACACGCTGAAATCGATGCAGTCCTTAGCTGGGAGGAAAGAAGGGGCAGGTCTCCATAATATTTTTTAAATAATTCCATCCTCCATTTCTCACAATTAGCAGTGTAACACCCACAAAGGTCATGGCATTCGTCTGTGATAAGAAATGCAGGGAAGGGAAGTTTCCCCCAAGCTACCAACTCTTTCACTCTAAAAACACGTACTTTCCCTAAGTGAAGAATAACTTTGAATTTATTTCGCCTACTTAGCTCTGAATTTTTAGTGGATTCTAATAATAATTGATTTTGCTGATGGTAATATGACCTATATAGTGCAGTCGGAACTTTCTGAAGTTTCCTCCATGCAAACCCATTCCCCAAACAACTTGAACTCTGTTAACTCACCTGAACAATACCAGAAAACACCGTTAAAACCATGCCTGGCCTCTCTGCAGCAGAGTCAGCATATAAACTAAACCTGGAGATAACAAAAGCAGAAAGAGGGGAAAAAATATCTATCTCCATTTTTTCAGGAGTCTTGTAGCAGCTACTGTTGTCAACAGGAGCTATATACTACATCCAAGTGGATAAATTAATAGATAATGAAGCTCAGGCCTTGAGACAGCTGTCTATCCCTTTGGGTGGGGATTTTATTAAAAAGTAAAGGAAAAACCTGACTATGTTTCTAATCCTTATGATTATTAAACAGCAACAACAAAGTGCATTTTGTCTTCCTGGGTGCAAACAGCAGCCCTATCACTCACAGAGTGTGCTAGTTGATAAATTATTTAAAAAAATAAAAAAGAAAAGCAATGTGTAAACGTACGCATTTTATCTCGTTCAAGATAAGTGAGCTGTTGACCTTTCACTGAGTCTCAAATTCGGAAGGGCCAGCTGGTTGCTCTCCACATATGCCTCTGACCTTTCTGCTGTATGTGGCTCTACACGGCAGCAAAGCCCCAGGACAGATTTTGACCCCCTGGAGGAGAGGAATTGCCCCCAGGACACGACTGCTGGAAGGATTTCTCAGCATTGGCTCATTAAGAAAAGAAGATGCGTTCCTGCGGCCGTGCCTGCCCCGCCGCACCCACTGCTGCCAAACCCACTCAGGGTCACCCCAGGGAGCCCAGACCCCTCAGCAGGACCCAGGAGCTGGCACTGCTGCTGCTGGGAGCTGGTGCCACCACGCTTTCCCTTGCACCATGGCAGGTCGGCAAAGCCAACGTCACTGACAAACTTCAGCGATGCAGCTTTTAACGTGTTGGGGAAATATCCTCCTTCATTGCATCCCAAACTCCTTTGACCAGTTGCAAAGGCAACTATGAAACTGTGGCACACAATTTTCAAATGAAACGCTGAACTAGACACTTACCATGGCCTTACAGAGCTCCAAATGGAGAAGGATTGTTCTGCATTAGTCACTTGCAACTTTTGACATTCAAGAAAGCACTTTACTGATAGAGGAATGGCTTCATTTTCCAGGGTTTCTTTCCTTTTCATTTTATGACAGATTTTTCAACTTTTACATTTAAAACAACAGCAATGCTGTCTTGAAATCCCCACAGCACATCTTGCGTCATTTGACGGCTGAGCCCCTGGAAGCTGGTCGTTACGTGAGCTTGCCAGTTTGCCTGGGGAGGCAGGGAGCAGCCAGGCTGCGGACGCGTAACTCAGAGGACAAAGAGAATTTATAAATGTTTAAAATCTCATGAATTTTAACCAAAGTTGTTAATGATTGATTAAATACTCTTTTTACAAAAAATAATCTGTTTAAAAATCAATTTGACAGTAACATCCACTGTTTAGAGTAGAGCTGCTTGAAATGTAGCAAACGGGGACCTAAATTATAGCTACTAGTTCTTTGTTTAATAATGCAGATCAAGACAGAAAATGCTCTTTGATCAGTTTTATTATTAAATATGGCCAGAATGTTTTACAAATATGATTGCAATCTTCAAGTCACAGTTTTACACACTTTAGTTGACTTGTAATTTCCATCCTTGTGTCATGTGAGACAAATCTCAAGTAAAAAGCAATTATTCTCCATTAATGTAGAAACATGCCATTAACCTTTCCTGAAGAATTTAAAAAGCAAAAACGAAGAGTCTGGAGCTAACTAACTGCATCCACAGCTGTGCGAGACACCGTATCACTGTCTGGTTAATAGAAACCATGCCAAATTTTGCAAGTGTGTGACTAGCTGCAAACCACATGTTTTATATTACTCTTCCTAATCAACGGAATGAGCTCTCGCTTAGGAAAAGTTCAAATTACTGCTTTCAAGGTTCCTTGTTTATAATTTGAATCATGAGCGCAACCAGTGATTTACATCACTTCAGCTGTACAGACCCTTTGCTGACTGGCAGGCGTCCCCGTATGGGCTGTGGGATACTGGGATGGAGCTGCGGCACGGCAAGCCCTGTCCCGGACCCCAGCCACGCGTGGGGCTCCAAACAAGGCACTGGTGATGTGAACACTTCTGTATTTGAGCAATCTTTCTGGTAACAAATACAACACAGTGACTCATAGGGATGCCTGCGGGATCAGCACCCAAATTCTTTTAAATGTGCAAAGTGTCCAGCACGTGTCGGGTGGACACAGCACTGCCCGAACAGAACGCAGCAGCTCCTCTACTTGTTGTAGGATCTGGAACATCAAACATATTTGTGACAGGGGCTCAAGGCAAAACCACTGTTTGCACACTTTGCTAACAATTTTATTAACAGACCACACAAAATTCTCCACTAAGAGGATTCCTAGTTTACAGGGCAGGATTATTTGTGCTCTCCCCACACTAATGCTGGACAGCTTTGCACCAATTGTCTGATCTACCAATTGGAATAAATATATTTTTTAAAAGAATACGTCCTCATACAATTGCCATTTGGTGGAGGATGCACACGCCTGCAGACAGTGCGTCAGCGTAGAGTTTCTGGAAGATGGTGCTTCCTGCTACAGGCCAACATCATGCACACACTGAGGCTTATACTCCCTGACAGCACCAGTAGATGTGCAGTGATTTGCTATAACAAGTATTAGATAATGCGGATCTTTCAAGAAGAAGAGTAGGTACGAGCACAAAATACTACATTGTGACATACCCCACCCTGTCACTGGTCATGATACAAAAGACTGTATTTGCTAAAAGCAACATGATAAACTTGGTGTCCATAGTTATTTGGATTGTACATCACTACTACTACCTGACAGTGCAGTAAAAAGAACTAATCCTTTATGCATATCTTCACACATAATGTAATTTGGAGTGCCATTCGTATTTATTTATGATAATACAAAAATAAGCAATGTTGCT